TGCCCCTCTCCTGGGCCGGGGGGAGGCCAGGGTCGCGCGGGTCCCCATGGCTGGGGGCTGAGGGCCCGCCCCCCCCTCCTCCCCAGCCGCCACCACCTCCACCTCCCTTCCATCCTCGGCAAGATGCCTGCCCCCGGCGCCCTCATCTTCCTCGCGGCCGTCTCCGCCTCCGGCTGCCTGGCGTCCCCGGCCCACCCCGGTGAGTCCGTCCGGCCATCCGGCTGTCCAGCGGCCCCCACCCCCATCCCGGCCTGCCCGGGAGTGTGTCCGCGGGGCTCCAGCTCCATCACCTGTGTGCGCGTCTTCCCGCAGTCGAGTCAGGGCCTGGGGAGCCGCGGGGATGGTGTTTCTGTCAGCAGGGCCTGTGGGAGGAAGGCTGGGGGCTGGGTGGGGAGGGGGTCCGTTTGGGCAACATGTGTGTGTGCACGCATGTGTGTGTGCAGGTGTGTGCAGGGAGCCGGGAAGGACAGGGCCTCTGGGAGAATTGGGGGCCGCGGGGAGGAATACTATTTCTAAGGCGGACACAGCACTGGAGGCTGTCTCTAGCTTTGGGGAGACCCAGGGCTTGCGGGGTTCCCTTCTCAGGGGCTTGGGCTGGGAACAGAGATGTGTGCGCTTCAAGCGTCCTTAAAAGAAACACGCCTCAACCCCCCTAACTAGGGGGTTGCAGCATGGGGCAAGAATCCTCTTGCAGCCTGCAGTTAGGGGTTCATCCTCTTCCCCAAACAGGGGGTAATGAGACTGTCGATAGGAACGTATTGTAAATTCTGGGAGCTCCAGGTTCCACTATTACTCCTCCTTCCCTCAGTCCTCAATGGAATTCATCCAAGACTGGGGTGATGTGATGGGGTAGGGGGGGGTCCCAGTTTGGGGCAAAATGAGGGACCCCACCCCCAACCACCTGAGAGGGCTGCAAACTACAACTCCCACAATGCTCTGGGCTATCCGGCCCCTCTGACAAGGGGCCTCTGGTTACTGAGCGTCATGGGAGTTGTAGTCAAGACTGGCCCGGATGGAAGGGGCATGGAGTCCGGGAGACAGGGGCTTGAAGCCGGGACGCCAGCCCAGCCCTGTGCCCACAGATGGATTCGCCCTGGGCCGGGCTCCTCTGGCTCCTCCCTACGCCGTGGTCCTCATTTCCTGCTCCGGCCTACTGGCCTTCATCTTCCTCCTCCTCACCTGTCTGTGCTGCAAACGGGGTGATGTCGGCTTCAAGGTGAGGTGCATGAGAGGGTTCAAGGTGGGGAGGAAGACTCCAGCAAGGCCTTTTCCCCCAACCCAGGTAGTTAGTGAGGGAGAGGGGCAGTCAATCGTGTCCGAGAGCACCTTTGGTCCTAAAGTCATGGCAAGATCCGGAGGCTTGGGGTGGAAATTGGGCTGCTGGGGACAGTTATAAGAAAGATGGGAAGACATACTGACAAGAAGGATGATGGCATGTCTCAGTCCTGTGTTCTCCCCTCCTCACCCCTCCTGGCCCCAGGAGTTTGAGAACCCTGAAGGGGAGGATTGCTCTGGGGAGTACACTCCCCCAGCGGAGGAGACCTCCTCCTCACAGTCTCTGCCTGATGTCTACATTCTCCCGCTGGCTGAGGTCTCCTTGCCGATGCCTGCCCCGCAGCCATCACACTCAGGTACTGCCCCACATCTTGACTAGGATTCTATGGTCCTGAGAGTCTTCCCTCGGGCGCTAGGGAGCTGAGGCTCCAAGCAGCCAAGGGGAAAGGGGGAGGTGGGAGCCCCAGAATCTTGACCCTAGAGGGAGTCAGAGATGATCTTGGTGGAAGCAATTACTTAATCCAAAACCAGATTTGGGGATTCTTGTGGGGCAATCAGTGGTGAGGGAAGCTTAGATCTCAATCTCAGAGACAGCCAA